GATGAACTTAGAGAATAGATGAAAGTAAAATTTTAGATTTTTATATTTATGTTATAACTAATAATATGTGTATTGTGTAATATAATATATATTTCGGTATGGTAACGGTATTTCGGTATTTCATTTTAAATACCAAATACCATACCTAATACCAATATTTTTTAAAACTTAAACCAAATACCAAAATTTTCGGCTTCGGTACGGTAATTTGGTATTTACCAAATTATGCACAGCCCTAGCTACAGGTGTGCACATTTTTTTGGGTAAATGATACTTAGCCGCTCTCAAAATAATAGCCGAAAAAATATTATTTTTTGTTTTGTAGATCTATAAATTCTATAAGTTATATACAAAAATTATATAAATTTTATACACTTTTTCGACTATTAAATGTAAATAGTTTTTGGCACCGACTGAAAGTGATAATACGCCCATTTTTTTGCTTAATAAATAGGACGGATTGTTTAGTCTACAGTAGTAATTACATGTTCAATTTGTGCAAATTTTCTTGAAACTCCGCCCCTTCATCGGTTTTGATCCTTTGAGATTCCACCAATAATACATTTATGTGTAGACTTTTCATATCTTTTATTGCACTTATAAAAGTGCACAACGAAGTGCCAAATAAATTTTAAAAAAATCTCTTCTTCCTCTAAGAAATTCCATTTTTCCCATAATTTCTTTTTTCATTTTCTCATGTCTCCTACCATCTAGAGGGTCGTATTTATGGGATAACTGTGTACTAGAATAACTTTTTGCAAAAGAACAATTAAAACTAGTTTATGGTCCATTTGCCAACGGAAGGCTTTATTGTTTTCCAATTGATTAATCTCTAGAGGTTCTATCTATTGTAGAATATTTTCTTCTTAAACAAACGATAGAAGTTTGGTAAGAAAGTGTTGTTATATATACTCATTTGTAATAGGAGTTGCCCGATTCTTTTTCTTATTTTTTATACCTTGAATACAAAAGAATGTGTTGTTAGGACATCGGATACACTAATTTTTGACAGCATGCACGTCTGTATTCATTGTCTTTTAATTAGATGTAATTTCTCGATTGTGTAAATAGAATTGTTTCTACTTTCTTTGAGATGTACTGCAAAATGAGACTTTTATTGTCTTAATTTGTATGACCCTCTGTTTTTCTCATTATCATGTTGAACAATTTCTAACTCATTATTTTTTTCGTTACTTCCATTTGTTTTCTTTGGTCGGTTAAGCTACACATATAAGTTGGTGTTTTTGTTTGCACTACGCAGTAAAAAGTTTAAAAAGTACTCTACGTTGATTTGATAAGGTACTAAATTTTAATTTGAAAAGAAAAAAGTGAATTGAAATTGCTGGAAATACTGTTCATGGTCTCACGTAGAGAGGTTGACAAATTAATAGAAAGGGCATAATTTTTGTAGCTATTTCCATCCCTTGTACAATTGTTAGCCTCTCATCAATCTACTCATGCAACTATGCAAGGACACTGTTTGTATAGTTTCGTTTCTTTTTTAAAACTCCAAGCAAATACTTATTCTACTATTTTGTTTTATATAAATATTTTAGTAGTTGTCCCTAAACGAGGAAGGCACTTACGATGTGTGATAGTAATTATTACAATAATTTATGGTTGACACGTACATAAAACTTGAAACAATTAAACCTACATAGTTTAGAAAGAGAAGTTTTAATTGGAAGGATGACAACTCAAAAAAATATAACATAGTACAGCTTTTGACTTCATTCATAAGAGGTAGTATTATTACCGATATTTAATAATGTTAATTATATGCGTAATTTAATTTTTAATTTATAGCTTAATTAGATATTTTGAGAATATATATGCATAAATATGTAATTATAAATGTCATTATGTAAACACTGATGTGGGATACATATGCATGCACGTGCCCAGATATTAATATAATAGTAATATATAGGAATGACATCACATAACACATATTGTTGCTTGGTGTATTGGTTAAGTTCCTAATTTTTTTCTAAGAGGTCAAAGGTTCAAACCAAATTAATAAGTAAATTTGTGAGGTGGCGTTTTAGCTAATTATGATTGTTATGTTCAGCTGTTGGCAGAAATTTCAAATACGTTCCACATATCAAGATCAAAAGACGAAGTCACATATCAATAATATTAGTAATTCCTAGCAGCAGACAGCGCTCAGGAAGAAAAGATGTTCAGCAAAGAGTAGATACCGATCTTTTATTTCTGACTTACATACAAATACTTTCAGCAATTGCATACAACATTTTTGAAAGAACAAAAACTACTACTCCCTCTGTTTCACTCACCGACTTTCAAACCATGTGCCACGGCTCTAGTGAATTCCTTGTTTTGAGTCAAAGTATCAGTTTGTCTAAAACTTTTGCTAATGGAGAACTCTCCCAGAATCAGGGTGGCACAAGGCTCGAAACCCAATAGATAATGGCCTGCTGGCTGCCTTTATCATTCTCCAATTAAATATCAGGCTTTTACCTACTGCAATACTAGCACCCGTGACTTACACCTAATCCACACACAACATGATGTGCTTTTACCACTAGAATTATAACGTTGCAAGTACACATGCACGAGCAGTAAACGTAACGACAGAAGATAAGACTTCATTTTTCATATTAATTGACATAAACCAGTTTAATTGAGTGAGTTGCAGAGTAATTGAACAGAAATGAGAATTTACCGTGGCGATTTGCTGGTGAGACCGTTGAGCTGCTGAAACTTGAAAAATGATGCCGGATTTTGATAAAGTATGATAATATCATAAATATCCGCTTCTTTATTTTGGATCGTGAATGCCCCATATGTTTTTAAGGAGTGAAGGATGAACCCTACCATGTTAATTACGTTATGGTTGGTAAAAATGTTCTTTTTTTCCTATTTTTCCTCCTAACCATACTTAACTCTCTAAAAGCCCTCTCTATGGCTTTCTTTTCCATTCATTTTGTGTTGGTTCCCAAAAATGGCGTACTTATGTGGTCTGCCAAGTTGGCATGCCACATCAGCTATCTGGTACCAGAAAACAGTCTATCGGGAAAGTTCGGCTTATGTGGTACAAGGTTGATTTTGATAATTTTTACATAATAAAACTAAATAGTGACTTGTGCGATGAACATCCACCAGGATGACCACCCATGAAAGATGAGATGCCTTCATCAACGTGCATCTGTAATCACCGTAGATTGAGATTCCACCCTTGTCAATCTTATTGACTATGAGCCCGTTTGGCTTAGCTGATTTAAAGTAGCTGATAAGCATTAGGTGCTGATAAGTACTTTAAAGTGCTGAAACTGATTTAAAAAATAAGCAGTTACGTGTTTGGATAAAAGTGCTGAAATTAATAATATGCGGCTGAAGAACTGGGTATACCAAGAATTTTGTTTTAAAAAGAAGTATTTTAGGGATAGAATAGTAATATTTTGGTCAAACTTAAAGTGCTTATAAGCTGAAATTTGATAAGTTGGGGGAGACCAACTTATGGCTTTTGGCTTATTTTTGGCTTATAAGCATTTATCTTATAAGCACTTTTAATTTTACCAAAGCCAAAAAGTGCTTATAAGCCAGTTTGACCAGCTTATAAGATTAGCCAAATACCCTCTATGTCTGCATATGACTGCTACATCTACGGCATTATGGCACTTAAAAAGATTTTGATGTGCAATTTAGCTGGTTATTCATTAATAGCAGTCATATCGTTTTGAACTTATAGCCTGTTTGGCCAAGCTGGAGAAATCAGCTTATTTTGAGAAGTGCTTCTTTAAAAAGTGCTTTTGAAAAAAGTACTTTTGGAGAAAAGCAGTTTGTGTTTGGCTAATTACTCTGAAAAGCACTTTTGAGCAATAATTTGTGTTTGGCCAAGCTTTTCAGAAAGTGCTTTTAAGCATCAAATTACGAATAAGGACATGAATAGATTTGCTTTATAGCTAATACTATAAGTAAATAAATAATCTCAAAAATTTGTTATTACATGCAATAATTAAATCTTTTCATTTTATTTAAGTAAAATATAAAAATAAAATTAAAAAGTACTTAAGCGTTTTTAATATATAAGTAAATATATTAAAAATCATTCAACAAATATAAAAGCATTCACCGCTAAAGTCACTATATATTAGAAAGATATCCTAAAAATAAGAAGAAATATTTATACATTGATATCCTAAGTATTAAGTTTAACGGTTATTTTGGTATATACTATATTTTGCTAAGTGCATTTTTGGTAAGAAGAAAAGTCAAAACTGCTTCTGATTCTGCTTTTGGGAAGAAGCTATTTTTCTGCTTCTACAGAACTACTTCTGACTTCTTACAAACGCTTACTTTTTCTAAAAAAGCTTGGCCAAACACCTCAAGTTAGAGAAAAAAAGTGCTTTTAGGAAAAAAAGCACTTTTGGCCTCTCTTGAGAAGCTTGGCCAAACAGGCTATTAGTAAGGTTAACTCTGTTGACGCTCAGGTAGAGAAGAGAGCTTACAACTAAGCATCAAACCAAACAAGTCGATCAGATATACAAAATCTTCATTGTCCCTCTCCCTAGTCACTTTGTTTAATCCCCCGATTCAGCAAGGCAGGCTTCGGAAGCACATTCTGCTACATCCGTCCAGCCTCACTCAGGCTCGGAATACATAACAGTAGAAGCATATGGTGAGAATGGCCTTGGTGCTAATACGCACCCAACTTAAACAACATTTTTTTCTCGTCTACATGACCAATACCTACTTGTTACAGAGAAAGTAAGAGAACATAAGTAAAATAGCTTAATCTACAGAACACCAGCAGCACCTCGGTATATAATTCTTCTATCTTACATGATGTAGTTGTTGGGAGTAATTTTAATGCATCAGCGTGGCAAGGATTCACATAGCCAACATAAATTGCTACGTATAGTGATCTAAGAGGTAATTGTTCGAAGACAACTGGCCTCCCTCATCTGTTACTGAGAGAGATCGCTGGAAGGTGATATGAGGAAACAAATTTGAAAAGGAAAATGTACACGAAAATATAAACATGGAAAAGTATAAAACAAATATTCAGAATAAAGGTACTAGTCATTAGGTCCACCCACAACGGTTCACTTTCAGAAGCTAACATAAAATCAAAATTATCCCATTACATCATTTAGCTGAAGGGAGATGAAAATGGAAAAAACTCTAGTTCCAGACATCTACCAGCACCACACACAGAGAGAGGCCCTCGTAGAATCTCATATTGAAGATTTAACGGTACTGCAGTAGAATAGAAGGGAGAAAAAACAATTAGCCTCAAATAGAACAAAGAGATTAACAGAGAGCACTAGGACTAAAGATAATACAGACTACACAGCTAAGATGTCTTGCCAATTAAAATAATAAATATCCGTCTAACCTAGAATAAGCAAAAGTTTTGTTTCCTATCCAAATAGCTAAATAAAGACTACAGCAAGTATAATTAAACTTCAAAAACAGAGTTCAGCTTTTACCTTGATGAAGCCAATTTCCTTGGCATTGCTGCGGAAGCACTGTCTGCAGCACATGAGTCCATACTTCCTTATAATTGCATGAGGATTCCCACAGACACGGCTGAAACATATATAAATAATTCCAGATCAATTAAACTAGACATATGGCAAAAACAAGCAATGATAATCACTTTACACATCTGAGTTACACACATTGTACATAATACTAAATTAGAATAAGACATGGGCAAGCTAAAAGATATTATCAAAAATCACAAATGGAGCATCTTTCACCACAGACTAATTATAAAAAAATTTCCTATGACAAGTCAAAAAAAGGTCTCATTAAAGTTGTCACATACAAAAGAAAACTGAATGGCAGTAATAATCCTTTTCGATTGGAATCTTGAAGTTTGTGCAAACACTAGAGTTGAATGTAAAATTTATTATCAGACTCTACAAAAATTCAAAAATCGCTAATTTAAACAAGGTTTTAACATGACACAGACCAAATGTAAGCCATAACATCAACAACTAGCAGAATAATACTCAAAACTTCACCAACTACTATTCACACGTCCCAATACCATAACTCTAAAAGATTGGGAGAAAGCAACTAATATATCAAATTGTTAATCCTAAACTAGTCTGGATCGGTCATATGAATCCTCTGTATGTATTCCTCTCTACACTAAAGACCTTAGTAACTTCACATTTCTTAGGCACGACCACAGTCCACGGTATATTTCTCTATGATAATCCTATGTACTTCTTAGAACATCACAAACAGTAATAGAATTGTGTTTTTCAAACTTCACTTAACAAAAATTCATCAGAACCATAGACATAACTCTAGACCTTTATTCCCTACGGTTGTTGTGTTTCTTTCCAGCCACCATACAACAGTTTATTAACGCCTTAAACAAACTATGAGGAGAGATATATGTAATTACCCTTAAATTACTCCCCCCTCCCCCAAAAGAAAGCAGAAATCACCTACGAAATACAATCTCACAATGTCTATTCAAGTTCTAGTTCGTAATGAAACCGTCTAAAAACCTTAACTTTCATATCTCAATATCTAAGATGCAAAAGAGTCGGAGTTAAAACAACAACAAACAACATTAAAAGATTGCAATAAACAGCTGATTTATCAACAGACAAGATTAAAAGAAATGGTTTCGATGAGAATACCAGGTACGAGACCCAGGGCCGTAGTTCTTGGGGTGAGCATTCCAGATGTTAGAGTGACCCATCTTTCTTCTTCAGAAGCTGTAAGCGAGAGAGGCGGCGCTGCGTTGTATGAAAACCCTAACTGCAGGACTCACTTTGTTCACGAGAAGAGCTGGTTTTAGGGAAAAGAGAGAGTATATATAGGTCGTAATCAAAACCCTAATTCGAATAAGATTTTCGTTAGGGACTTGAACATTTCACTTTTGTGTATCTACACCCAACAAGATGTCGAAATGCTGCAAACTAACTCTTAAAAGGCAATTTTACACATTCACCCCAGTGGCTATGCAGTACAAATTTTTATTTATTTAAGCATCTCAAATGGTTTTATATAATTTGAAATTTACCCCTAAACTATGTAAAATTAGTTGGTTATGCGCTCTATTAGAAATTTCAAGTAATCAGTTGCAGCCAAGATGTATAGATGTCCTCCAGAAGATTTTGGAAGTGGTCCAACAACATCTAATCCCCAAGCATCAAATGGCCAAGATGCGACAGTAGAGTGTAACATTTCAGGTGGTTGCTGTATAATATATGCGTGAAACTTGCAAGCCTTGCATCTTTGTAAGCAATCTTTCACCATTGTCGGCCAATAGTAACCCATCCTCTTATGTGGAAATGGAGTTTTGGCCCGGATTGATGTGATCCACAAACTCCAGAGCGTGCCTCTTGCAAAGCTTTGAGTTGCTTCATCTTCCCCTAAACAACGCAAGAGAACTCCCTCAAATGATCTTCGATACAAAGTGTCTTTGTAGTAAAGGAAGCGAGGGGCACGCCGGCGAATTTCGGTCTTTCTTCTTGGATCTTCTGGAAGTATCTCGTAACATAAGTAGTTGATCATGGTTTGTCTCCAATCAACCTTCACAGCTTCAGCGACGGCTACCAAAGCTCGAGCTTGCTTTCTTCATCCTCGTTCTCATCTGGCGGTACTATCCGTTTTTGGAAGATAGTGATTTGTGTCTGGCCGGGCAGAGTCAATGTCGAAGCTAGAACAGCTAAGGTGTCAGCTTTCTTATTTTCCTTCATTGGCACATGCGGAAGAGTTACATTGCCAAGCCATCCAATCAATTTCTGCGCATAATTATAATAAGGACGCAATTCTAGCTTTTTTACCTCATAGCTACCTAGAAATTAATTGATCACTAACTCAGAGTCTCCAAAAATATGTAATTGGAGCTGTCTCATATCAACGGTCATCTCAAGCCCAAGCATGAGTGCTTGATATTTTACAACATTGTTGGTGCAATTTGGTGTTAAGGTGAAGGAATATGGCAAGACTTCTCCTTGAGAAGTGATAAACACAACACCTGCACCAGCTCCTTCACGATGTGCGACACCATCAAAATACATTTTCCATGGTGGTTGCACTTCGATGACCATCCCATCCTCATCAGGTAGTTCATCAGTCAACTCCAGATCATCAGGAATCGGATGATCCGCCAAGAAATCTGTCAAAACTTGTCCTTTCACAGCTTTTTGTGGGATGTACACAATCTCAAATTGTTGAAATTGGTGGTACCACCTTGCTAATCGATCGTTGAGGACGGGTTTCGACATAACAAACTTGATCAGGTTCGCCCTTGAGACGAGACGAATGACATGAGCTTGAGAGTAGTGCTTCAGCTTTTGAATTGCGAAAACCAATGCCAGACACAACTTTTCGATCGCAGATCCTTCAGCTCATTTGGGGTCAACATACTACTCAAGTAGTAGAGGGAATTTTCTTTACTTTCACCATTTTCTTGGGCAAAAAGGGCTCCAGCTGACCTTTCTTGGGCTGCAATATATAGAATCAATGGCTTTCATGGTATAGAGGCTGCCAGAACCGGAGGTCTCATCAAGTAGGATTTGATGCTTTAGAATGCGTTGCTACAAGCTTGGTCCCATTCAAAAGGTACACCCTTCTTCATGAGACGGCTAAAAGGTTGGCACTTCCCTGCTAGATTTGAGATGAATCTTCTAAGGTACGCCAATTTTCCTTGTAGACTTTTCAGTTCATGTATATTTCTGGGCTCGGGCATCTTCAAGATTGCATCAACTTTGGCTTGATCTATCTCAATCCCGCGATGTCGAACAATGAAGCCAAGGAATTTTCCAGAAGTAACTCCAAAGGCACATTTCAACGTGTGAGAATGCACGGGAGAAAATATTATTGATTATTAACAATGATACAATGAGCCCTATATATAATACATGTCCTACTCCTAATACATATGGGATTAGGGTTATTTACTACTATTTAACTATCAAACTAACACTCCCCCTCAAGCTGGTGCATATAAATCATATGTACCGAGCTTGTTACATATATAACTAATACGAGGACCAGTGAGGGACTTGGTAAAAATATCAGCAAGCTGATCATTCGACTTCACAAATTTTGTAGCAATATCTCCCGAGAGTATCTTTTCTCTAACAAAGTGACAGTCAATCTCGATGTATTTAGTTCTCTCATGGAACACTGGATTTGACGCAATATGAAGAGCAGCTTGATTATCACACACAAGTCCCATCTGACTAATATCGCCAAATTTCAACTCCTTGAGCAACTGTTTGATCCAAATTAGCTCACATGTGGCCATAGCCATTGCTCGATATTCTGCTTCTGCACTAGACCGAGCAACCACATTCTGTTTCTTGCTCTTCCAAGACACCAAATTTCCTCCTACTAAGACACAATATCCAGACGTAGAACGTCTATCAGAAGGTGATCCTGCCCAATCAGCATCTGAGTATCCAACGATCTGCTCATGGCCTCGATCCTCAAACAATAAGCCTTTGCCCGGAGCTGATTTTATATACCGAAGAATGCGGACAACTGCATCCCAACTATCACAGGGAGAATCCATAAACTGACTCATAATACTCACAGGAAAGGAAATGTCAGGTCTAGTCACTGTGAGGTAATTTAATTTACCAACAACCCGCCTATATCTTGCAGGATCGCTAAGAGGCTCCCCATGTCCTGGCAGAATTTTAGAATTCGGATCCATCGGCAATTCAACAGGTCTACAACCTGTCATTCCTGTCTCCCCAAGAATATCTAAGGCATACTTCCGCTGTGTGATCACAATACCTGAGCTAGACTGAGCGACCTCAATACCCAGAAAATACTTTAATCTGCCCAGATCCTTAGTCTGAAAGTGTTGAAAGAGATGTTGTTTCAACTTACTAATACCATCCTGATCATTGCCGGTAATAACAATATCGTCAACATAAACGACCAGATAAATACAGAGATTTGAAGCAGAATATCGATAAAATACAGAATGATCAGCTTCACTACGAGTCATGCCAAACTCCTGAATAACTGTGCTGAACTTACCAAACCAGGCTCGAGGAGACTGCTTTAGACCATAGAGGGACTGGCGCAACCGACATACAAGGCCACTAGACTCCCCCTGAGCAACAAAACCAGGTGGTTGCTCCATATAAACCTCATCCTCAAGGTCACCGTGAAGAAAAGCATTCTTAATGTCCAACTGATAGAGAGGCCAATGGCGAACAACAGCCATGGATAGAAAAAGGCGGACTGATGCAATTTTAGCCACGGGAGAGAAAGTATCACTGTAATCGAGTCCAAATATCTGAGTATATCCTTTGGCAACAAGACGAGCCTTAAGTCGATCAACCTGGCCATCTGGACCAACTTTGACTGCATACACCCAACGACAACCAACAGTCGATTTACCTGAAGGAAGAGGAACAAGCTCCCAAGTACCACTCGTATGTAAAGCAGACATCTCGTCAATCATAGCCTGTCGCCATCCGGGATGAGACAGTGCTTCACCTGTAGACTTAGGAATGGAAACAGAGGACAAAGATGACACAAATGCACAATGGGATGATGAGAGACGATGGTAACTTAAACTGATATAATGAGGATTAGGATTAACTGTGGACCGTATACCTTTTCGTAGTGCAATCGGTTGATTAAGAGGAGACAAGTCCGCAGTATTAGCAGGGTCAGGTGCAGGACGTGAATCAGCTGGTCCTGATGCTGGGGGCGGACGACGATGATAAGTCAGGAGTGGTGGAGCTGTAGAAGGTTGAACTCGACTAGGTGGTGGCACTGGAGCTATAGTTGGTGGAACTGGACTAGGTGGTGGCACTGGACTCGGTGATGACACTGGAGCTATAGTTGGTGGAGCTGGACTAGGTGGTGGCACTGGATCTATAGTTGGTGGAACTGGACTAGGTGGTGGCACTGGACTCGGTGATGACACTGGAGCTATAGGTGGTGGAGCTATGGAGGAAGATGAATGGGAGATAGGGACTGAATCTCCAAAAGAAAGAACGGGTAGCACCCCAGAAATATCTAAGTGATTAACTGGACCGGTGAAGTATGATTGGGTTTCAAAGAAGGTAACATCAGCAGACATAAGAAATCGCTGAAGGTCAGGAGAATAACATCGATATCCCTTTTGCGTTCTCGAGTAACCCAGAAATATGCACTTAAGAGCACGAGGAGCTAACTTATCTTTTCCTGGAGTAAGGTCGTGAACAAAGCACGTACTCCCAAAGACACGGGGTGGAAGAGAGAACAAAGGTAAGTAGGGAAACAGGACAGAGAATAGAAATTGATTTTGGATAGCTGAAGATGGCATACGATTAATAAGATAACAAGATGTAAGAACTGCATCCCCCAAAAAACGCAGTGGAACATGAGATTGTATGAGTAGGGTACGAGCAGTTTCAATAAGATGTCTATTCTTTCTTTCAGCTACCCCATTTTGTTGGGATGTGTACGGACAAGATGTTTGATGAATAATCCAATGGGAGTTCATAAACTGCCGAAATGGGGAAGACAAATACTCTAGGGCATTATCACTATGAAATGTGCAGATAGAAACCCCAAATTGATTTTGAATTTCAGCGTGGAAGGTCTGGAAAATAGAAAACAACTCAGATGGATTTTTCATCAAAAATATCCAAGTGCACCTGGAATAATCATCAATGAAACTGACAAAGTAGCGGAATCCTAAGGTAGAACTAACCCGACTGGGACCCCAAACATCTGAATGGACTAAAGTAAAAGGTGACATTGCTCGATTATGAAGACGCCGCAGGAAATGGGAGCGGGTATGTTTACCGAGCTGACACGACTCACACTCTAGAGTG